GATTTATTTCCTCTGTCAATCCAGCCCCAAAACCTTTGAATTGAGGTCCCTCTCCGTCTGCCCTTGGAGGGTGGGTGAGCAATTAGGCTGTCTGTGGAGGAAAGCGGAAGTTAACAAGAGTCGGGACTTCGGAGGTCATCTAGTCCAACCCATCCTGTCCCCCGTTCGAGCAGGAGGCCCTATCCCATTGCAAAGCAAAGGGTTGTCCAGTCTCTTCTTTAAAACTTCCTGTGATGGAGGTTCCACTTTCTGGCGGCAAGCGGTTCCACTGGTTGATCGTTCTCATTGTCCCAAAATTTCTCCTTAATTCCAGGTTGCTTCTCTCCTTGGTTACTTTTCCCATTGTTCCTCGTCCGTCCTTCAGGGGCTTTGGGGAATAGGTTGGACCCAGGGTTGGGGTTCAAATTTTTAACAACTGGTTCTGTGGGCGTGGGTTTGTTGGTGGGCGTGCCTTGGTGGTCATGGGACTGGGTGGGCGTGGCTTGGTGGTCATGTTATTGGCTGGGCGTGGCCAACTCAATATCACTCACATCGAGGCACGCATCTCCTTGCCTGGCTTCTCCTGACTGTGGGGATGCTGCAACAGTCGTAAGTGTGAAAAATGGCCATAAGTCACTTTTTTCAGTGCCATTGTAACTTTGAATGGTCCCTCCATACAAGCAAAGGACCAGCAAAGGAGGGGAAAAAAACCTCCAGAGACGTTCCTGAGACAGGAAGTCTAGTCCTGCCAAGAATGTAATAAGGGTCAACGGAGAGGCAGTTTCTGTAAGCAACACCAGAATGTTTCCTTCCTGCCTTCCTTACAGGATTAGGCCAGTAAAAATTTCTTCTAACAATCGGTTCTCCAAACTGCTTAGAATGTTAACAACCGGTTCTAGCGAATAGGTGCGAACCGGTAGAATCCCACTCCTAGTTGGATCCCCCTCCTCTTCTTTGGGGCAGCCCCTCAAATACTGCAAGACTGCTCTCTATCATGTCACCTCTTCAACCTTCTCTTTGTTAGACTAGACCAGTGGTGGCTAACCCTTTTCGGCTCCCATGCCGATAATTGCGCACTTGCTCGCTTGCCCACGCTCACTTACATGCCAGCACCCAGAAGGTAATGCATGCTGGGGCCCTCCCATGCCCCCTGCACATGCACACGCGATCCCCCCTCACGCACCGTGTGTTTGCGCATGTGTGTGCGATTCCCCCCTCGCGCACAGCGCACACACGATTCCTCCCTTGCGCACAGCACATGGGCACATGTGAGTGTGATCCCCTTGGGCTCAACGCATCTCTGCGCATGTGTGTGCGTCCCCCCTCCATCCCCTGCACATGCGTGCCAGATACCCAACAATCAGCTGTCTGGCGGTGCACGCACGCATGCACAGTGGGGCCCTTCCAAGTGACCTCTCGCATGCTGGGGGAAATGGCTCTGCGTGCCACTTCTGGCACACGTGGCATAGTCAACGTGGGACTAGACATACCCGGCTCCTGCAGCCATTCCTCAGACGTGTCACTTGGAAACTGGGTTCACAAGACACAAGAAAACCAGAATCAGAATCGGAATAGAGTCGGAAGGCACCTCGGAGGTCTTCTAGTCCAACCGCTTGCCAAGACAGGAAACCCTAAACTATTTCAGACAGGCGTCTTATCTAATCTCTTCTTAAAAATCCCTGCAGTGATGGAGCCACCCACAACTTCTGGTGGCAAGCAGTTCCACTGGTGAATTGTCCTCACTGTTAGGTAGTTTTACCTTCTTTCCTGGCTTCTCTCCTTTATTCGTTTCCATCCGTTGTTTCTTCCTTCTGGTACTTGGGGAAAAGGTGGTGGTTTGTGGGTTGTGGTTTTTTGTTTTTTTTTGACTACCTGTTTGTGCGAACTCAGCCATCCCGCCACCTCAGCGCTGGCACAATCCTGTGTGAAACCAGTGCTGGGATTCAACATCTTTTACTACCGGTTCTATGAGAGCGTGTGCTTCATGCGTGCGGCGTTCAAAACACATCACTTTCAAGCACCACAGCTTAGCTTCTAGGCCGGCCCCGGTAAGTAGACACAGGTGAGGCGCAGGAATCCACTGTGCCGCGTGAAGCAACTGAGCTGAAAAACGCAGAAATATAGGACAGGATAGAGCAGGGCCAGCTGATCGTTGGTGCAACCGGTTCAATAGAACCGGTGTGAACCGGGAACATCCCACCACTCTGAAACCTTGTTGTGATGCAGAAGACAGACAAGACGGGAAGCAAACCGATTGAGTCACGGATCACACAAACACCCAGATGGAAATTTCACCCGCATACGCCAAGCCTTGCCGACGGCTGCCCACTCCTCCTCCTCCTCGCGTGGGAACCTTCCCCCCGTCCTCTCTCAACCAGCAAGCCCCGGTGCAAAATGGGCTCCGTAGTACGGCTGACTCGCCAGATGCAACCCAAAACAGAAACCCACAGGTCGTCCTCGTCTCACAATGGTTCATCGAGTGACCGTTTCAAAGTTACAACGTCCCTGGCAAAAAAGGGACTTACAGCCGTTTTTCCCACTGACTACCGTCGTAGCATCCCTGTGGCCATGTTATCAAAATTGCTGATGTATTTATGACAGTCGCAGTTTGGGGGTTCACGTGAACCCCTTTTGCGACCGTCGGATGAACAGAGTCTCAACGGGACGGGAAACCAGATTCAGTCGACTACCCTCGGAACCACTAATGGGCTTCGCCTAACGATGGTGGTGAGAAAAGCTGTAAAAACGGGGCAAGACTCACTTAACTGTCTCGCTTAGCAACAGAAATTTTGGGGCTCCCTTGCGGTGGTAAGTCAAGGAGCTGCGTCTTCATTTTGCATTGCTTTTGCAAAAAAAAAGAGAGGAAATTTTGGATTTTTTTTCAGAGAAATATGGCAGAGAACAGCTATTATTTTATTAGGGGGTAAAATATTATTTTATCAGGGGTTAAAATAATCCCCCCACCCCAGTAAAAGAGGGGTGGGAATTGGTGAACAATCACAAACAAACCGGGATTAGACCCCATTCCCAACGGAGCCACTTCGTGTTTTCTAACCTTTGTTCCAACTCATTTAGTGACGGTTCAAAGCGACTTATGGCTGTTTTCCACACTTAACAAACCCGGCAGCTTCCCCCAGGGGGCAGCCTCCTGGCAAGCCCACTCAACAGGGAGGCCAGGTTCACTTAACAGCCATCTTACTACGTTAACGACTGCGGGGATTCACTTAACAACAATGGGAAAAGGAAGGGCTTAAAAGGAGGCAAGCCCCACTGTCTTATTTAGCAGTGGAAATTGGAAGCTCACTTCCGATCAGAAGCCGAACTCAGAAGGTGGAAAATAATGACCACGGGGATGCGGCAACGGCTGAAAAAGTGTAAAAAATGGCCACGAGTCCCTTTTTGTTCCAGGGCCGTCGTAACTTTGAAACGGTCGGTCAATGAAAGGCCGTTGATCCTAGGATACCTTGCACTCCCCAGGGCTCAACTCGGAGGAGGGTATCCTAAAGGCCAGAGGATGAGAGGATACGGGCAAGCTAACCGAGGGGGGGATTCCAGCTTGCCAGCTCCATCAAAGGCAAGCGGGCCAAAAAAAAACCCAACAACCCTGCAAGGGAGGCCAACCGCTTTCTTAGACGGAGAGACCGCAAAGCTCCACCAGTTAAAAAAAAGCAGCAGCAAGCAGGAATTCGATCGCACCTAAGACTGACATCTTGCCTTTTTGTTTCTTTTCTTTTTTTCTCTTTTGACCACAAATGCAGTGAGGAGCAGGCTGGGCTGGATGACCTCAAGTGGGCTCCTTCTCATTCTCTCGAAGGCTTTTTTTTTTTTTAACGTTTGGGTGCAGCATTCCCGTTTTTCTCATGCCAAA